GTCCGAATGATGTAAATAGTGTATTCATTCATATTATTTTAAATTAATTAAATACCATTTTTTCCCCCATCCTTTTTATCACTTCGGCTGCTAACTACGGAGATCTTCATTTTTCTTATCTTGCTCCATCTGGCTAAGTACGGAAACCTACGTTTTTTGCATACCCGCTGGTATGAGTGTCCCGTTGCGCCATCTATCGTAAAATACGGGAAATTCTAACTGTTCTATAATCCAATTATTAGTCAGCCTCGAGTTTTCTCTCCGTCATGGTAGTCTCGTATCTTATTTGAAAATATTCCTGACGAAAATGGGGCTAGCATGCTGATGTTCCCATCGCCCGTGACCGTATGTCCAAGGGCACCTAAAATTGATCCTGCCAATCGCCTAGTTGGTGGAATGAAAGCTCATGACTTGGTAGAAATTCCACCAAACAATAAGAAAAGGTACCCTTACTTCAAAAAAGCTGGAAAACGCTCAGAAACAAGGTACTTCTGCAAGAAGTGTGAAGTCCCACTCCACAAAGGACAATGCTTCAATAGATATCATGTGTATACCCATTACTGATGTGGTAAGTCATTCCCAGGTATATCCATGAAAATGGAATGCTGTAAAACACACTGGTGCCAGTTTTCTGTGTAATAAAATATGTAGGTTGAAATTTGGCATTTTCTTTCAAAATGGCTGTCCGGATAGGGGCAGTATTGCGCAAATGAGTAGCAGTGAAAGTGTTAAATATATGTAAAACTTATTCCTTTCTTCTTTCTAAGCAAATGCTTTGCTCTTTCCTTGATCAAACCTTACAGATTTTATTTTCTTCTGAATATATTTATTCCGAATGTTTATCGAAACATTTTTCTTACTTCTTTCCATATCAGCATTTTTCTTTCTTTCATTATTTCCTTTTTTTTCTTTTTTCTTTTTTTTAGAGACGCCATTTCTTTTTTGGGAATGTATCACCTCATAAAAATGTTGACTGGAGCTGTTTGACGTAGACAGGACATGTGATTATTTTCTCAAAATACTGTCAGTGATCGCTTTGAGAATTAACAAAAATAAAAAAAGATAAAAATACGAAACTGAGCATATTATGAGACATAAAAAAAAAACAGCAAAAGAAATATGGGCCGGGATTACTCGATGGATTTTATATGATAATGTGAAAAGAAATTATTCGTTCATAGCGACTGGGGCCATTACACTTTAAATGATTACGTACTTTTACGCTCAAGAAATTTACATATATTTAGTATTGCGAACAGCACGACAAAAGACCAAATCGTTAAACGCTGGAAGGAATGCTACGTAACACTAATCTTTCAAAAAGGACGCATTGGTTCTCTTGAAATAAATAATAATAATAAAAAACATTCATAGAATTATCGTTTTATGTTGCTAACACTCTGTTACTCACTATCAGATTCATATATATATATATATATATATATATATATATATATATATATATATATATATATATACTAATGTATGTTTCATTAAATAATATAGACAAGTTTTGTCTATTTATTTTACGCAAAATCCTTTCATATCGTCTGAATCATGCACCATTAAAAAATGCTGCCTAAATACACACACACACACAATATATATATATATATATATATATATATATATATATATATATATATATATATATATATATATATATATATATATAATCTGACAGTAGTAACAATGTTAGCAACATAAAAATGATGTATATAATATATTATATATCTATAATATAAATTAATTATACATTATATAATATAGATTATATGCATTATAAATATCACATAAATTATATATACACTAAACATTCTTTTTATAAAGGTTCATGGAGATATTTCCTGTCTCTTCCCTTTTGTGTGTGTCTATATATCTAAATATGTCTGCGTGCTTATATATTATAATCTGATTGTGTATATATATTGTCTTTGGCAAGATGTCAGCATAGATACATTTGTATGAAGTTAAGAGCAGTCGATCTTAACTTTTATTCCACCTTAATTTCAATAAAAACAAAATAAATAGAATAAAATGTATCTTTTTCTTTTTTTTCCTCAGTAATTTTATAATTTTAAACTTAATAGAGATTAAGTTTAGATTTTAAAATGCGTAGTTTTTAATTTTAATATCAAATTTTATCGTATAATTTAATACTTATTAGTTAGAATAAATTTTTATTATAACCCAAACTTAAAAGCATTTAATAGTTATTATAAACTTACTTAGATGTCAAGTTTCTTGAATTCTCGTATACTTGTATTGTCATTGGTCATTCTAGTTTATGTAACAGCGTTTCTCCTTTCGAGGTGTGGTTAATCAATTTGAACCTTTTAAAACCTTTATTCTACATTCAACATCATCACTTGATAAGACAGCAGAGGTGTTGAAGAAAAATGGCTACTTTTGTAGTGACTTTCTAACATATTTATGTTATAATTTTTAAATAAATAATTATATATATATATATATATATATATATATATATATATATATATATATATATATATATATATATATATATATATATATCAAGGAAAAGCCTGAATGTCAGAGAAATTTCATAGAAAATATGTATCCTCCGACAGAAATCGACATGTATACTACACAGAACCGTCATATGGCTTGGCGCGCTATACTATTTTGCTATAGAGGAAATATATTTTCTATTAAATTTCTCGGACATTCAGACCAGTAAATGTTGTTAATGCCATTTATTATATTCAGGGCATTCAGAAAAAGTAGAGTAATATTATCGCTATCCAATTGCGGCCGTGTATCGATACCAATCAACGCGTTTCATCGGTTGATTGTAAATTACTAGAGACTGAAATATTTATTTAGATTTAAAAGCCAAATACGG